CACACAGCCCAGACAAGCGTCTTCTACCAAACTGCATCCCTGGCTCCCAACATCCACATATCAAAGAGAAGTGACTGAGGAGAGCATGTAACCTCCTAGCTACCGAGTGGAAATGTTAGAAAGTTGAACCCAGTTTGATCTATTCCTCACACTCTGGGCCACTCTTGCAGGTATACACACAGGTATGGAATTTGAGGTGCTGGTTTTGTTTGTTTGTTTTGTTTTTAAATCATCTCTCCTTCTTGCCAGTGTATTCCAATTTATGTGCCCATGATATGTACCAATTTCTAAATGTCTTAAGTCTGATAATCATTATTCTGGTATGGTTTCAGTCAGGCAAATACACAAAATTGCTTCTTAAATGCCCAGATCCCAACCAAGATCCTGCTCCTTAGTGCCTTCTGATAGTGAATATCCTCCTCTTTGTTAGTAGTGGCAGATGCTTTAAACATCTAGCCTAAGTGACTTCTAACTGTAAGAGTCGTCTTCTCTCTCTCTCTCTCTCTCCCTTTTATTTTCTAAACCAGGTCTCCTGTAACCCAGGTTGCTCTTGAATTTTCTGCGTAACCGAAGGTGACCTTGAATTCCTTCTCTCTCCACCTCCAGAGTGTTAGGAATGACAGGAGGTAATGGCACTGGAGAGATGGCTCATTGGCTGAGGGCACATACTGCTCTGGCAGAGGACCCAAACTCAGCTCACAATAATGCCCTAAACCTACAGCTCCAGGAGCATCTGGCACCCCTAGCGTCTATGGGAATTTACATTCACACACACACACACACACACACACATACAATTTTTAAAATTAATTTTAAAAGGAGGCTATGACTTACTATGCCTGGTTTACATATGCTGGGATTCAAACAAAGGGCTTCTTGAATGCTAGCAACTGAGATATAGCCCTAACCCTCATCCATATCCATGTGAATATCCCTTGAGCAGGCTGTGGTCCTGACCAGAAATCCTTCATGGATCCTCTACTTGACTTCTGACATTCTGACTTTGTTTTCTACCATCCTTACACCACTTCACGTTTCAGCCAACTGGTCTACTTGCAATTCCCTGACTCTGTTTTTTCCATCTGTTGAACTTTCCTCAGGCTCCTCCCACTATCTAGAAAGCACTCTGCCTCCCTGCCATCTTGTCTGTCTAGTGAGTGCAATGATTACTCCCAAGGCAGATCAAGCAGCCCTGGTTCTGGTTACTTTGTTTCTTTTTTTTCCTCACTCTCTCCTCACCGGCCTCACTACTCCAGGCCTTCTGACCACACACATTAACCTTAGGTCAAAGTTTATATGTTATTATTTATGTGTATGATTTGTTTGCCTGCCAGTGTTTCTTAAGCACTTATGATACACTGGGAGTATGTACTAGGAACTTGACTAATTTAATTCAATCCTCACAGCAACCCTTCGAGATAGACATGCCTTCCTCCATTTTATTGGACAGGAGTCTGAGGCTGTCAGAAGTTAATGATCTTGATTCCTTACTAAATGGCAGAGTCATCACTCACTCAACGAATCTTATTCCAATCCACATCTGCCAGATTCCTAGTTCCCCCTTCCCCCCAGCTTTTCAGTATGGATTGAGAAGTCCCTCTGGGGGCTATTAGCACAATAGCCTGAGGACAAGGCAGACCACATCAGAGGCAGTTTTCTGCTCCTCTCCTTTGATGATTTAGATTTGTTGCTCTACGTTTAAAAAAAAAAAAAAAAAAAAAAAAAAAAAAAAAACGGGCAGTGGTGGTGCAGGACTTTAATCCCAGCACTTGGGAGGCAGAGGCAGGTGGATTTCTGAGTTCGAGGCCAGCCTGGTCTACAGAGTGAGTTCCAGGACAGCCAGGACTACACAGAGAAACCCTGTCTTGGAAAAACAAAAAAAAAAAAAAAAAAGTTTGGGTCTCAGTCGGCTCTTAGTCTGGGCCAGCACAGCGCTAAAGGAGTGATTCATGTGGACAAACATCATCCAGGATGCTTCGTTCCACTGGTGACCCTGATTATTGTAAAACTGAGACAGGAGTGCCAAGCCCTGGCACTCATCCAGCAGTTTCCTCTCCCAGTGCTCTGCCACCTCAATAAAACCTCGAGCCAAGTCTCCCTTCTTCCTGCTTCAATCCGGTTGGAGGTCTCAGCTTTTATACGTAGTCCGTGACAGCAATACTATCGCTCGGATCAGCCTTGGTTTGATAAGAGACCCCGGCATTAATACCCTACATAGGCTTCCTAGAAATCCATAAGAAAATCACATGCTGAGAAGTGACAGTCTCCCTTGGACTAGATTTTCACCTTTTTAGGGTTGGGAACCCCCAAACTCGTTGGATCAGTTCATATTGCTTAATGAAGAACTTTGTAATAATGGACTCATTCTCTTCCTTATTATTTTGGAGTTAAGGGTGTTCAGAGGGTGTTTGCTCAAGGATCGTGTAAACAGAGCTTTCCGATGCCCTGGCAAACGAGCATGCCTCTAAAGCTATTTCAACATGGCAAGCAGTGTGGGTCTAGTTAAAAAAGATGAGTCAAGAAATAGAGGTAAAATAATTCTATCTTGTATTTGAGGTCCATTTTTATCTTTCTATCTTCAAGACAGTCATCCCTGAGATTGGCATTATCAGAATGCCCATTCCACAGCTCCCAAAACTGTGGAGTGTTGAACACCTTTCCACTGCCTTCGGCTCACTTACTCTTAAGCAAATATGGGTTGTTTAAATAGGTCTAAAGAGAATATGCACACAACATAGAATTCTTATGTTAATATTCTTCCCTCCCTCTTAACCAAGATGGTGTAAGTGTCCAAGGCCTTCAATTCAATGTCTCATATGTCACAGTGGACAAAGATCTGATGACAATCGACAGTTGTATCTTCTTATCTTCTACAAAGGAAATAGCAGTGTTTAACTCTTAGGCAAGGCAATTAGACCACAGGCCACCAAGGACAATGAACCACTGGGAAGACCATCCTGTTCTTGGTCATCTTTAAAATCTATCATGAAGTGGCTTGGCAAAAATGTAAATGGTCATGGCCAGGGTATAACTGAGACTAGTAAAAGTTCTAAAAGGCCCACTGACTGGGGCCGTTTTCCAGTGATTGCTGGTTTGTTTCCTGTGAGTGTGTTCATAATCTGTGTATGAATATGGGTACACACATCCTACTTCATGCATGTGAAGATCAGAGGATGACTCTGTGGAACCTGTTTCTCACTATGTAGCTGCAAATGACCTTGGATTTCTGCTTCCCCTACCTCCCAAGTGCTGTGATTAACAACATGTGCCACCACATCTGGTTTATTCAGTACTGGGGAATCAACCCAGGGCTTCATATATGCTAAGTGAGCACTTTGTCAACTATGCAAAATGTGAGAAATTTAAAAACAAAAGTCTAGCACTGTAGGAGGAATGCCAAATGTCAAACATAGTTGAGGTGCTAGGAGGTTAAAATAGTCCTTGTAGCTAGGTCCCAGCCATGGAGTCACTTCATCTTTTTAAAAATATTTCTTACTTTATGTATATGAATGCTTGCCTGTGTGCACGTATGTGTACCACATGCCTGCAGTGCCCTCAGAGACCAAGAGAGCGTGCCAAATCCCCTGAAACTGGAATTACAGATGGCTGTGAGCAGACATATGGGTTCTGAGAACTGAATTATGTTTCTCTACAAAAGTGGCAAGTTCTCTTAACCACTGAGCCACAGCCATGGTTTTTTTTTTTTCCTCCCTTTGTGGAACATGCCGCATCCTAGAACCTGATTTGTAGATTAGGCTGACCTTGAACTCACAGAGATCCACCTGCCTCTGCCTCCCACATGCTGGGATTAAAGGCGTGTGCCACCAACCCTGGTATGCATGGGCCACTCAAATATCAGTGAACCCCACTTACTTCTTCTGTGATTTGCTATGTTGTAGACAGGCTAGTGGTTAGGACCCTACATAATAATACTTGTATTTATGGGACTGCATTGGCATTATTAATTAACACTGGTGACTTAAAAGGACTGTTTTAATCCCTCAAAACCTTAGCTAGGTTTGATATTTAGCAACCTTCCTACAGTGCTAGACTTTTGACATGTTTTCAAATCTCTCATTCTGCATAGATAAATTTTATTCTGCCTTCCCCAATGTAGTTCTTGTAAACATTTCAACGTTGCCTCTACCATATGTTTTTTAAAAGCCACTTAGAGCATAAACCAAACATCGTTATTTCACTAATACAGAAACTATTTAATTTTGTTATTCCTAATGTCATATGTCCCCAAAAAACAATTTTCAAAAAGCATTTTTTGTTGTTAGAGGACATTCACTACCTATTATGTGAATAATGTTGCTAACATTTTAGAGATACCTTGAAAAGGACTTATGGCATATGTTAACAGAACTTCAAAGGAGAGAGTGGGAGAAATATGCTAAAGAATTCAAAATTGAGAAAAGGTGGGACGTGTGCTAAACACTAAACAAAGTGTGCAAGGGAACAGGCAAATCGTTCCAGCAGGGCCCAGTAAGCAGCTGCCGGCAACTGGATGTTAACACAGAGGGCACTTATTAAGATACTACGGTCCGTCTCCCAAGCTTCCCCTGTCAAACCCCAGGGCTTCTGACCGCAGTCTACTACCTGTCTCTAGCTTTACTTTTACTCAGTCTCCTCCTTTCCTCTTTCTTTTTGGCCTCGGAGTGTTTTCAATCACTTTCTAGGTGATTTCATCCATCTGGAAAGCAACCCTGTCTTCTTTCTCTTTCTTTCTGAGAACTGTCACTCTTTCGGACCTTACTCCCAGAGCCAGAGCTGCTGAGAGCTTGTGAGGGTGATCTATTTTAGGAGTCCTCCAATGGGCTGGCCTCCCCTATGACAACATCAGCCTGCTTTACTCCCCCCAAACCCCTACTCATTCCTAGAAAAAACAAATGAACTCTGTGGCCCCTGAAACTGTGACTGAATGTCTGGATCTAAGCTTTTTTTTTTTTTTTTTCCCTCCAAAGTGAGGTCAGGTCAAGGGGTGAAGTGGGCAGTACCTCTTTGCAGGCGTGAAGCTCGGGTCCGGTTCCCAGGGTCACCTGGAAGGTGGTCCCAGCCCAAAGCAACAGCCACAGAAGCCGGGATGTGCGCCTTTCGGTTCTTTCTCCGCCTCCGGCAGAAGGATGGGGGTTGTGACCAGGCTCAGCCATAGCGCTGTCCTGAGCCAGCGGCAGTAGCAGCTCAGGTGCTGCGGTGGCTGCTTATGCTGGCAGTAGGAGGGAAAAAAAAAAAAAAAAAAAAAACGAGGAGGGAGGTACACAGGGGGAGGATGCAAGGGGCTGGACTCGCTTCAGTCACCTCCCTGCGGCTACGCCAAGGCCGCCCATCCTTCCTCCTCCCTCGGTCCTCTCCTCCTATCCATGTCGCCTTGACAACCGCATCCTCTTCGCTCAGCGCGGGTGGGGCAGGGACCACGCGCGCCTGTGCCGCTCACCTGCCGGTCTCCATGGCAGCCGCCACCGCTGGCGCGAGGCGTGGGAGTGCACGCGCCAGGGTTTGCAACTAACCGAACAGGCTTACGTAAAGCACGCAGTAGAAGAACCCTCCAAAACATCTGCAGCAGCTCATTTCGCACCTATTACTCTTCCAGGCCGGAGGCTATTTCTACGCATCTCTTATTTTGTAAACATGACATGTAAAACGATTAGAAGACAGACGTCTTCGTCATCTTCCAGGGATCGTCTCCTGGAGTGATCCTGGCACTAACCGCAAAAGCTAGTTCCATCCTTCCATCCGACCAAATCCATCCACGTTTTTACGGCCGTCTCGGTGAGCCACTCTGACGTCAGTATAGTTAAACAGCAAGGAGAGTGACCTAATCGACAATTTTCCAAGTAGGACACAAAGTGAGATCTTTGATTTTTTTTTTTTTGACGTTCTCTTACTCTCATTGATTTGAAAATGGGGAAGCGTTCTTTTAGGTGAAGGCGAGAAGGTAATCTTTGGGTCATCTTTTAGTACTTCTTTCGTCAGCTTTTGCAAAAATCCCGTGCCGAGGGAGGCCAGCGTTTTCCAACTGAAGCTACAGAGTGCGTATCCAGGTCGCCTTCCCTCCACATTCACAGCAGCCTCCTCCCAAGGAGCCTTCTTAGTTTAACCGCCAGGTGGCGCATCTCTCGAAGGGAATACATCTGTCATAACTGAATGGAGGAGTTGCCTAGCAACTAAAAACTGAGCGTTCTAAACAATTGGGACTCGGGATCCTCGGCGAGCCAGGTCGTTCTGCGGCTACACTAGTCTCCAGGGAGTAAGCGTGCGTCTCTGGGCCTTTAAGCATGCCTCACTCTCAGGAGTCTTTCTCGAACCCTGCCTTAGGCAACGACGACACACATTTAGGAAATCTGCATGCTTCTAAGGTACATTGAGGTTTCCTCAGCAAATTTCTAGTGGGTCCTCCAGCAGATTCTTGGTAATCTAACTCTGGTGATCACCAAGTACCAAAGAGATCTGTTTTCTGCCTGTCTCCTAGGCCCGCTATTTGTGTCTGATAATGTTTTTGAAAGTGGTTTTGAGCAGAAGGAACTGAACTCTAATGTAGAAGAAAAAGGTCCGTCAAAGCACTGATGGGGAATATAAATGATGGGCAAATATAATATAATAGTCTGGGTTCCACCAATCCTCCCTTTTCTCTTGTTTTGTCATCTGTACTCCAAAGATTGATGAGAGGTAGAATGGAAGAGAATCTCCGAAAGACACCAGGTCATACTTCAAGCAAGCCTCCACAATATCTGTGGCCTCTGGTTGATGCAAGAGCACATTTGTGTATGTGTGGCTTTAACTTAATTATGTTCAGTGGTTTGGAAATACAAACCATCTTTTTCCTAGTCTAAGTATTTGGGATATTTGAATTAAGTGGTAATTTGAGCTTGATAACAACACAACAAAGAACTTCCTTTTCTTCAATATTGGTTGCTTATATGCCAGACATGCTTTGAAACACTGAGGGCACACAGCCTAAATTTAGATATAGTCCCTGTCCAGTTAGCTTAGTAGGGAAGTCAGGCAAGCAACTGCATCAGTCACTTAGTGGGTAACACAACTTATCCCAGGATTTGGTGGCTGAAAGGGAAGGACCAGGAACTCTAAGCCTGCCTGAGCTATAAGAACCTGTTTACAAACAAACAGCCAAATTGACAGACATAACAAAAACCAAACTGTACTTCCCCCCAATGGCACATGCATTGTGGTGGGGTCACGGGCAGAGTGCCTGAGAATAGGAACATGAAGGAGGGGTTTCTCAAAGAAGGTGAATGACATCTGATGAGTTAACTGACATCTGGTGAGTTAACTGAGACACATGCAAAGTGTGTGTGTGTGTGTGTGTGAAGAAGAAGAAGAAGGAAAGAAAAATCAGCTACTGAGGGGAAAGGAAGCAGTCGGTGCAGATGTATGGGAAGGAGAGACAGAGTGGCCTGGAGAATTGCTAACTCCAGAAATGCCAAATGTCAGTGTAAAACAGAGACACAGACTGATGGGTGCTAGAGACGAGCTTGGTGGCTGAGTGCTGGGAGCGTTGTGTTACTGGGCTAGGAGTCATCAGGGAGCTGTTGGGAATTTCGAGCTTTCAAGTGCTGGAGTGTGTTAGGAATCACATACAGCTGTGAGATGTCTTTCAGTAAATGAGCGTTAAATATAAGCAAATTGGAGGGCCTACACCCTTGGCTACATAGTGAGTTCAAGACCAGCCTAGATTATATGAGACACTGTCCCAAAAGCCAACAGTGGTGGCCTATGTGGGTAAACTTGATCAAGAGAGGATGCCGTTAACACTTATGGGACTGGTCTTACGAGTATCATCTGCTCAGCCCCATAAGTTCATTGTAAATAAGTCGCTGCTGCTAGCAATGTCCTTTGGTTATATCCTTGACAGCTGTGAATAGCTGTGTGTAGCTGCAGTGAAAGCGAAATTAGAGTCTCAAGACAGCTTGCTGTGGAAGTCCTGGATACCCAAAGGAACTGAGTTAGCAGAAGGATGCCTATGCATGTTTACTATGACTCTGATAGTCACAGTCCCCAATTTTTAAAAAAAAATGGCCTAGGTACCTGCCCACTTGAATGCATAAATGTGGGAGACATACACAACCAAGTATCGTATAGTCATAAAGAACAGCTGTATTTTCCAGGAGTTGGGGGCAACATATTAAGGAAGATGAGGCAGATGCAGAAAAGCAGATTGGTATATGTAAAATCTACTCTTCTATTAAGGATATAAGACTGGAGTACCTAAGTACCTAAGTTAGTACTCATGCTAACTTTCCTAGCATGAGTTTGACAACAAAACAGGTGGGAACCAGACATGAACATAGAAAGGGGACTGTTTGGAAGAGGAACAAGAGAGGATAATGGGAGATAAATATGGGCAAGAGTTTTGTACTGTTTGCAATATCACGATGAAACCTGTTTTGTATAGTTAGTGTGTGCTAATGATAAAAGATTAATTTGTCAATGTTCAGAGACACCTATCACAGAATTGGTGACCAATAAATAAAAGCTCTTCTGGCGTGAAAAATAAAAAGAAAGAAATCACACGGAGCAGTGAACTGGATAGGCTAGGAGTGAGACAGAAGTGCATCAGCTGGGAAGCAGGTGCAGTAGTCAGCTGGGAAGCAGGTGCAGTA